AAAGAGGTCAAGCAGAAAAGCAAATCAGCTACTGCTCAAAACTCATGATCTTCATACATTGTGCAAGAAAGTCAAATATTTGCTTCAACAACCATATTGTAACCATTAACTCTTGCTTCAGATTCTGGCACTATCTGACTCCATTTAAAGGTCACATTGGTTAAGAAAAATGTAGTTATCACTAGCTATTCAGGACAAATATATCATCAATAAAAATTTGAAACAGGAAAGTACTTCCATAACTTTTACATTAAGTCTCTAAGCACTAATCTTTTCTCAATATGCAAGGAATGATCCTGCTTTCACTCAAACCAGTTCTGGCATTACTGACAGCTGAAAAATACTACGCAGTAGAACACATCTCTCAACACAAGACTAGCTAGTTCATGCAAAAACTGAGCTGCTTTTAAATACCAGCCACCCAAGACATTTATAAACACATTTCTGTAAAGCTAGGATCTGTCCCTTGTGACCGCTGGTGAGTTCAGGAAGAGCTTATGTTGGAAACTGGTGGAAGAGACAGGGGAAGGAAAGGAGCAGTTCTTTGATCTTTAGCCGGTGCTAATTTTAGGCTCTTCTCTTTGAAATGCTTCAGTAAAGAGGTTTGTGAGGGCAGAGTATGAAATGAATGATTTTTTTCTGCTTGTTATGGGTGTGCAGAATGAGCAAGTTACAAATAGGCATGCCTACTGCAAGTATGTAATACATTTTCCCCTTTTGTCCCACTAGCTGTGCAGGAAAAGTTCCACAGAAGAATTCAACTTCAGGAGGGGAGAAAGTGACATGATGCTTTTGTCCTCCAGTAAGTTTAAGTTTGTCTATAGGTCTTTTAGACATGATGGTTTTTGTAAAAGCACAGCAGTTAGGCAACTGCTCCTACAGCTTGGATGTATCAAATTTTCTGTTGGAGATCTAGAACGGTTGCACACCAATTTTTGGCTGAATCAGTAGTTATACTTTGTTAAAAAAAATGTTTTTCCCCCAGAAAAAGTTGTCATCCAAGACCAAAAACAGATATACATCAAAATAAATGACTCTGGAATGGACATCAGTGTCCTTGCACATTTCCTAAAATGCTTTTGGCATGACAGCCAATTCTAGTTTCAGAAGACACAGGACACTTCCTCCCCTTCCTCCCTTCTTTCTCAATGATTTTTTTGTTTTCCTTTTAAGAAGCAGAATTCACTGTGCTGCCAAACTAAGATTTATTTTTAACTCTGTTTCTATTAACTTTTGTTTTTCACTTTTCTCCTCAGGCCACAGATATGTGCTGTTTATTATACTGCACGCCAAACACTATTCAAAGAAATATCCCCTGTGGTATTATTTAGCTCATGAATCTCTTGAATTCATGACTAGCGACAATCTAACCCTGAATCACAAAAGAGTCATTATTTTAAGAGATATGTCATTATTAAACAAAAGTTTCCCCCCCTCTTAGAGCAAGAAATATTATTTTACAATACTATTATATTTCTCTTGGATGCTTACTTCTGCACTAGTTGTTAATCAAACCATTTGACCATGAAATAGCAGCGATATTTGATATATGTGAGAAAAATTATTTTGTTTGCAACAACCCAACCATTGGATACTCACCACAGCAATAACAGGAATAAGCACACCCAGATTCCCTGCGCTACTGGAGGCCTGGAAAAGAAAAAGGAAATTATCAAAATATCTACAAAAGCATTTCTAAAATACCTGCTACAAGACATATTTCAAGCATCAAACATTCCTACTGTCTACGCAAATGAAAACATACATTGCCAATTACAACTCTGTATCTTGCAAATAGATGTGCATGCGGTGGCCAAAAGGGCACCCCAGAAATCCACAGGACTGGGCACACCCTGGAGTCTTTCAACAAAGCTTTTCAGGTGGCTCCTCACAGACTATTGATGGGATTTTTCTCCCCCCTCCCCTTCCAGCATAGGGTCTTCTGTATTTGGAAGTTAGATATTATGCCTTGAGCTAAAGGGGGGGGAAATATTCATTGATACCACATCTACTCTGACATCCAACAACTGCAAGAAAAATGCTCACATTAAATGGGTGGCCACAGACAAGTGTCAAATGTTTACTAAAAGTCTCATTTTATTACCAAAATGAAGCCAAAAATAACAAGTCTGTAAGAAGACACCATTTTCAAGAATTTATTTAAGCAGGGGGAGCAGCCTTTTCCATTGAAATACAAGAAGAATAAGGAAAATACATATTTCCTTTGACTTATTAGGGCTTTTTTAATTGCACTCTATACAACAAGCGTGTTTGCTCTTGGCCAAATACAGTGTTTAAGAACTGAAAACATTCACTGCATACAGCATGTTGTCTCTCACCTTCTTTGATAATGCAAACAGTGATAGCACAGATACCATGCT